AAAGCAACAAATCTTTCCCCTTCACCCATGGTAACTGTTGGTCAAGTTTGGTTTCTTTTTTTATAGTATTCTTATATCAGTAACTTCCATGGTTAAACCACTTTTAAAATGAGTTGTAAATTATCATCACAATCAGTTTTAGTGCTTCTTCCCTGCTCTTGCATTTACTGTTTGCACTACCATGAGTCAGAAGTAATTTGAGAGTGAATGATGTTTGTTTTGTTTTGTTTTTTGCTTGTGTGTGTGTTCAATCTTTACAGAAGCAGATACCCAGGCACCTTTTGTGCACCTCTGGGTGAGTCTCAATCACTAACCTTTAGGTTACCAACCCAACACTAATTGTTTGTGCCAGATAAGGAACTTTAGTTAATAATACTGTATCAATATTGACCCAGTAATAAGAAGTAATGCATCACACTAATGCAATATGTTAGAAATAGGAGAAACTGCAGGAGGGGAACACGGCACTCTACTTTCTGCACAATTTCTTTGTAAACAAAACTGCTCTAGGAAATTAAGTACTACACATTTTAGTAGTATTCAACAATGAATTAGGCAAAGATAAGAGTTAACTGGAGCGTTGGTGGCCTAACAACAGTCAAAAGAAACGAACAAAGCTGGAAGGGTTTCTGTATGTTCTGGCTTTTCTTTAAGCTCAGGAGACTGGCATAGGGATGGATGTGTTACTCACTCCTGCTCCAGCAGAAGGAATGGACCCATTTCCATTTCTAAACATGCACATTCATGCTGGCTCTGGACCCACAATGCCACCTTCTTCTGATGGAATTTTTGGATGCTTCCAGGACATTGTCCTGGCACCATGCACCTAGGAGACCCCTCCCCAGACTGTGAGCTCCTTGCCTTTGGGCCTGTCTTCTCTCCATCTCAGGAAATGAGCAAGAACCTAGAACAACGGGCACAGGGGAGGTAACCCCAAATCAGGTAGCCCCCAACAAGATCAATGGCTACAGTGTCCTGCACAGAAGAGTGTAGTGAGAAGCAGAGCAATGGGACACCATTATGTTCTTCAAACAAGGACTATGCCACCCTCTTAGTAGTCTGGCCATAATGCCTTGGCTGTGAGTACTTCTACCTTATCTCAGAGGAAATCTCAGGGCTTCAACAGATCCTTAGATTTATAGAGGAATACACCCAAAGCCTGGAGTAAAGTTTAAAGGCACAGCCCTTTAAACAACACAAGTCCTCCCATGGTGAGGGCTTGACCTGGTGAGCTTCGTCACATCTCTGGGCTACATTAGCTCTGGAAATGCCAGCTCTGAATCCGACCCTATCACATGCCCACCTGCTTCAGAATCTCTTCAAGTTCAATTATGAACGAGAGGACCAAAATCAACACTGTTATAATCCTTTGACTATTCTCTTATACATGTACCTATTGATGAAACTGAATCAGAAAGCAGACAGTGCTATATGCTAAGCTTTCCATTTCTGTAATTCTAAGCACTTCCCCCTGCCATATTATTGGAAAGTATTAAGTATAATGAGATTATTTTTTTCATTCCACACCATACAATTGTTACCACAATCAGTTTCCAAACAATCTTTTTCTACATGGACTCCTTGACATAGTCTCCCTTTTACCCTACCTCTACCACTGTACCCTACTCCCCCTTATTCAACTTGTTGTCCCTCTAGGTTCATTGATCCTAGGTGTCATATACCCCAAAATAGAAAAGCATGTAACACAGCTTTAAGAGGGTGACCGCCAT